ACAAAGTAAAAACATGTAAAATATGTCATCATATACATAAAACATGAAGGAGGGGAATAAAAAAATAATGCTTTTTAATACAGACTATTAATATAAATGGCTAGATACATAGGATGCAATATATAAACCTATGGTAAACATAAACCAAAGAAAGCACTATGACAAATACACAAAAAATAAAGAGAAAGGAATCAAACCATAACATTAAAGACAGTCATCAAATAACAAGGTAAGACAGCAAAGAAGGAAAAGAACTACAAAAATGATTAACAGTTGTTTTCATAACTAAAAATCGCATTAAGTACATATTTATCAGTGATTACTTTAAATGAAAATGAACTAAATAATCCAATTGAAAGTCATACAGAGACTAGATAAAAACACAAAACCCATCTATACGCTGCCTATAAGAGACTCACTTCAGACTCAAAGACACACAAACACTGAAAAAGATACTCCAAGCAAATGGGACTGAAAATAAATGCAGGGGTGGTAATACTAAATCAGGCCAAATAGATTTCAAAATTAAGACTATACAGGAGACAAAGAAGGGCATTACATAATGATAAAGGGATCAATCCATCAAGGAGATATATCAACTGTAAATATCTATGTACCCGACAGGGGAGCACCTAAGTATATAAAGCAAATATCAACACACATAAAAGTAGAAATTAACAGTAATACAACAACAGTATGGGACTTTTAACTCTTTGCTTACATCAATGAATAGCTTATTAAGGCAAAAAAAAATCAAAGGAAACCCTGGCTTTGAATGACACATTAGATCAGATAGACTTAAAAATAAAACATTTCATCCAAAATCAACAGGATATACGATCTTTTCAAATGCACATGGAACTGTCTCCAGGATGGATCACATATTAGGTCAAAAACCAAGTCTCAATAAACTTGAAAGATTGGTATTGTTATTAAGCATCTTACCTGACCACAACGGTATGAAACTAGAAATCAAACACAAGAGAAAAATTGAAAAAAAAAATACATGAAGGCTAAACAACATGCTACTAAACAACCAATGGATCAATGAGTTAAAGAGGAAGTCTTAAAGGATATTAAAAAACACATACAAGTAGGTAAGAATAAAGAGAAAACAACACATCAAAATCTGTGGGATGCAGCTGCAGCAGTGCTAAGCAGGAAATTTATACTGCTGAATGAATACACTTGAAAAGCTTATCACTTGGCATAATGTTATGAAGGTTCTTTCATACTGTAGCAGGTATCATAACTTTATTCCTTTTTATGGCTGAATGTCACTGTACCTATATACCACATGTTTTTTATCCATTCATTTGGATAGACACTGGGGTTGTTTCCACCTCTGGGGTATTATGAATAATGCCACTATGAATGTTGGAGTGCAAGTATCTATTTTGAGTCCCTGTTTTCAATTTTTTTTTTGGTATAAACCTAGGGATGGAATTTCTGTGTCACACAGCAATTCTGTATCTAATTTTTTGAGGAATCACCAAACTGTTTTCCACAGTAGCTGCACCATTTTACATCAACAGCAACGTTTGAAGTTCTAATTTATCCACATTCTCATCAACATTTGTTATTTTCCTTTTTTATCCTTTAATAATAGCCATCCTGGTATGTACAAAGTGGTATCTCATTGGGGTTTTGATTTTCATTTCTCTAATGACTAACATGGAGCATCTTTCATGTATTCATTGGCCAATTGGACAAATGCCTATTCAAGTCCATTACTCACTTTTAAATTACATTGCTTATTTTTGTTGTTATTGAGCTGTAGGAATTCACTGTATATTCTTGATATAAATCCATTACTAGATACACCACATGCAAATATTTTCTCCCATTCTGTGTATCATCTTTTCATGCTCTTGTCATGCCCTTCAGGCTAACACTTTTGAAGGACATAAACATATAAGACATATGTTATATGTAGAAAACCTAAGTAACACAAAAACATGAATTCTCACAAAATTACTATACAAATTAAATGTAATTTGAGTTAAAATCCCAACAATAAGGTTTGGTTAAAACTGAAAGTTCATAGGCAGAAAAAAGGTTTGAGAATGGCAGAGAATTAGTGATTATAAAGGTAAATACCTCTATATCAACACATAATATAAAACCATTATTTGTAAAACAGTACAGTGGTTGCTCCTTATCCAAGGTTTCAGTTTTTGTGATCTTGAACACCTACAGTCAACTGAGGTCCAGAAGATGATATTCCTTCTGACATTAATCATCAGAAGGTCAATAATAGCCTAATACTGTGTCTATGTAATTTATCTCACTTTATCTCATTGTTCAAATATTTTATCATCTCATGTAATCAGAAGAGGAAAAAGGGTGAGTAAAATGCAGTAAGATATTTTGGGAGAGAGAACATATTCATATAACTTTTATTATAGTATATTATTTGTTCTATTTTATTATTAGTTATTGCTTTAATCTCTTACTGTGCCTAATTTATGAATTAAACTTTATCATAGGTATGTGTGTATAGGTAAAACATAATATATAGGGCTTGGTATTATCCATGGTTTCAGGCATCCACTGGGGTCTTGGAATTTATCCCATGAAGATAAAGGAGGACGACTATATTGTTTTGACCTTAAGAATAAACTAATAGACCAAAATTTAAAAATGTATTAAATGATATGTAAGATTTCATATATGATAAAAGCAATATATTCAGAAGAAAATGGATTATATAATTAATAAAATGGCCTAGCACAACCGAGCATGTGGAAGAAAATAAAATTATAACATTACATCACATTATATACCAAAACACACTTCAGATGGATTAAAAATTTAAAGAAAATGTTAATATGAAAATCAAAGCTACTATACATACTATTAGGATAAGATACATCTTTTAACCAAAACAGGAAACTTAAAAGCTGTAAAAGTCACATAGTTGGTAATATTTAAAAACTTCCCCATTAGATGATTAAAGAAACTATAAACAAAATCTGTAAGAGTCAAGATATCATTTGGAAAAATATCTGTCACACAAATTACAGTTACAGACATTCAATTCAAAGATCTCTCATAAATAAGATAAAACAAATGAGCAAGGGATATGAATAGACAATCAGATAAAAGCAAATTCAAATAGGCAATGAACTTATAAAAAGGTGGTTCAAATTCAGTGGTATTAGAAAAAGACACTAAAGTAACAATGAGACAATAATGATCAAATTGGCAAAAAAAGAATAGTAAATAATCTACCAGGTAAAAGGTACTTTCTTACATTGCTGGTTATGATGTGATTTATAAGAAATATTTATTTTGGTCATTCAGATGACCAAAATATGTTTTTAAGATATATTTCATCTTCATCCACATATCCTAAAACCCTTCAGAGCAATAAAGGTAAAATGGGTGTCTTGTTCTTAATGGTGACTTCTGGCCACCCCAAGGGTGGGGGCCAGTTGTTAGGAAGACCAACCATGTGATCAGAGGGTTGGAATTTTGAGTCCCAAACTCCCACCTGACCTCCACCCCAACCTTCAAGGAGGAGAGAGGGGATGGAGGTTGTTATCAATTACCAGTGGCCAATGACTTAATCATAACTATGGAGACTATGAAGCCTCCATAAAACCCAAGTGGAGGGCTTTTTGGTCCTTTTCCTTTTCGGGGACCTTCCATGCTTGGAGAATCAGAACACTGCCACATGTCAGTGAGCCAGGCCCCAAGCTACAGGAGGACAGAAGGTCCTTTGTTCAGGACTTTGCCCCATGCATCTCTTCATCAGGCTGTTGATTATATCCTTATCATATCTTTTAATAAACTGATAAATACAAGTCTTTCCCTGATTTTTGTGAGCTGCTCTAGCAAATTAATAGAACCTAAAGAGGAGGTTGTTAGAACTTCCAATCTATTGAGGGTTGGACAGAAGCATAGGCAATAACCAGGGGCTTAAGACTGGAGTCTGAAATGGAGGCTGAGGGAGTCTTATAGGACTGAGGCCTATGGAAGACAATGCTATCCGAAATAGACAGTGTCAGAATTGAGTTGAATTCTTGGGACACCCAGCTGGTGTCCAAACATTGCCCTCTACATAGGTTTGGGAATCCTATTTACTGGTATAAAAGAAAATTGCAGAAGCCTCTTCTGACAGTGGAGTATGCGCACACCCACTTACATTTTTCATTTAGGAGCACAAATAAAGGTATGAAAGGATTCAAAGGTTACTTCCACAGGATGATAGGAATAATGATTAGTAGTTTTTTTCTTTTAAATTCTTGACTTTTACCTTAAATGAAAAACTTTTTCTAATTTGAAAAATGTAGTTGAATAAAACTGGTTTTATATATATATATAATGTAATAAAATACTATATATATATATATATATATATATATAAA